CACTGAACAGTCAAAATCTATTTTGAAGTTGATGTTCCATTGTTTTCCACCGGACAAGAGTGATGCATTTTAATTGTACTTAATTGGCAAGAAAACACTTTGAGACCTCCGAAGGTTATGAGAAGTGTTACAGACATGCAGGTTTTTTTTCTTTGTTCTGGGCTTCCCCACCAAATGATTTTCTTCAGCCATCCAATCGTATCCTTTAATCATCTTAAAAACCTCACAGATTAGCCCCAGAGCCTCTATATTAGAGGGAATGCAAGTCTTGTTGAGGCAAACAACCTCATAATTTCATTCCATTGGTCCCAATACCATCCCAGTGAATCATCATTGTAGTCCTTCCAGGGCATGGTTATGAATGCCACGAAGGAACCATCAAGTCAGAAGGTATTTTAAAAATAAACAACAGCATGTCTAATCTCAACATTGATGGGCAATATTGCATTCATCATCTGTCATACCCTCTTGTCCATATGCCTTTTTGTTGATGAGAACGTGTCATATAATGCACAACCCACCCAGAATCACTGCTGCACAGTACACATTGCGTTCCAAATATTCTCCACTTGCAACTCCAACTACACTCAAGAAGTTCAATACCTACCTCAACATATTGTAGCCCATTTGATCAGCATCCCATCCACTACCTCCAATATTAGTCCTGTCTATCACTGACACATGGTAGAAGCAATCTGGATCATATGTAAAATACACTACAAAAACTCACCAAGTCTCCTTCAGCCGCATCTTCCAAACCTGGGAACTAAATTACCAAGGGCAACAGATATGTGGGGACAGCACCACAGACTATCCTGACTAGAAAATATATCACTGTTCCTTCAGAGTCACTGGGACAAAATCCTGGAACTCCCTCCATAACAGCACGCCAGTTCAAGAGGTCAGTTCCAACTTCCTTCTTAAAGGCAACTAAGGATGTGGAACCAGTGCTGACCCAGGTAGTGACACCTCCATCCCCTGAACAAATTTTCAAAAACTAATAAAACAAATGGTGATTTCAGAACTCTGGAAAATATATGAAATGCAATCTTAAAATAAGCATTTTATGGAGTGAAGGGAAATCACTTCGAGAATTACAACTCAATTTGAGGATTTGATCAAACATCAAGAGGAGAAATAGGAGGGATTGAAGGACATTGTATAAACTAACAGATTGAATTAAAATTGTATGTGGTTGGAGAAAGATAAAAAAAAGAGGCTGGAATACACCTCGTTGTTAATAAACTGTTACGGCCTGGCAATATAACTAGAATGTTTTACATTCATCAACTGAAGTGAATCTTCCACAGTGAACTTGTGTCAAGAGTATATTTTCATTGGGTTGGGGGAATGACACTCTGATGACCACTTAGCTGTTTTGATATCAAATGGATGACAGATGGTGGCAAAATGGCTCAGAGTCATAGAGTCATAGAGCTGTACAGCATGGAAACAGACGCTTTGATCCAACTCATCCATGTTGACCAGATATCCTAAATTAATCTAGTCCCATTTGCCAGCATTTGGCCCATATCTATCTAAACCCTTCCTATTCATATACCCATCCAGGAGCCTTTTAAATGTAACAATTGTACCAGCCTTTATCACTTCCTCTGGCAGCTCATTCCATACACACACCACTCTCTGCATGAAAAAGTTGTCCCTAAGGTCCCTTTTAAATCTTTCCCCTCTCACCTTAAACCTATGCCCTCTAGTTTTGGACTCACCCACCCTGGTGAAAAGACCTTGGCTATTCACCCTAACCATGCCTCTCATGATTTTATAAACCTCTATAAGGTCACCCTCCAGACTCCAGTGCTCCAGGGAAAATAGCCCGAGCCTATTCAGCCTCTCCCTATTAGCTCAAATGCTCCAACCCTAGCAACATTCTTGTGAATCCTTTCTGAACCTTTCAAGTTTCACAACATCTTTCCTATAGCCGGGAGACCAGAATTGCATCCAATATTCCCCAGGGCTAAAGTTCAGAACTCCAGATTGATAACTGGTGGAATTTAAAATCAATCTATGAATCTGAAATATAAACCTAGTTTCAGTAATGGTAATTGTGACAACTACTGATTGTTGTTACAACCCATCCAATCATAAATGCTCTTTAAGAATGGAAATCTGCCAACCTTATGCAGCCTGGCCTACGTGTGACTCACAGCAATGTGTTTGACTCTTAGCTGTCCTCTTAAATAGCCTTGCAAGCCATTCAGTTCATGGGCAATTAGGGATAGGCCTTGTCAATAACACCCACACTCCATGAAAGAATTATTTTCTTATAAAAATCTTGGAGATTAGAAATCACCAAATAAATAACATATGGTGCAATCAAGTAAAAACAAATGGTGAGACCTCCATTGAAAACAAGTGTGTATCAGACGCAGAGAGAAAAGAACATGGAGAGGAAATCTGAGCTAGAAAATTGCCCAAAATTCAGCCCTCTGTGATCCTGTGCCTTATGTTACCTTCTCAGTGCAGATTATCCCTAGCTGAACTGCTGGAACTATACCAAACCCACCAGACGATGAACATCTTTGCCTGGAAGATGCATGAGCTTCTCATTTCCCAGAAGAACAAAATAGATTGCCATATGCAGACATACTATACTTGGTTTTCAAGAAAGCATTTGATAAGGTGCCCCATTAAAAGTTATTGTGGAAACAAAAGCTCATGGCTTAAGGGTAAATATATTAGCATGGATAAGAGATTTGCTAGCTGGCAGAAAACAGAGCCCATACCTATATGGGTCTTTGACTGGCAGAATGTCACAAGTGAGATCCCGCATTGGTCTGTGCTGGGGCCACAGCTTTTTACAATTCACATCAAAGACTTAGATGACAGGAGCAAAGGCATGGGAGCTAAACTTGCAGATGACACAAATGTAGGTAGGAAGGTAGGTTGCAAGGAAGACTTGTGGAGTTTGAGATGGATATCAATAATTTGAGAGAGTGGGCAGAAATTGTTCACTTTGGCTGGGAACTTTAAAAAGCAGAGCATTATTTAAATGGAGAATGACTCCGGAATTCCAAGGTACAGAGGGATTTAGGTATTCTGGTGCATGAAGCACCAATGAGTTAGGTATACAGGCACAGTTTGTAATCAGGAAAGCTAATGGGATGTGATCCTTTAGTGCAAGAGGAATTGGACATAAATGTAAGGATGTTATGCTTCAATTTTACATAGAGTCAAAGAAATATACAGCACAGAAACAGACCCTTCAGTCCAACACATCCATGTCGACCAGATATCCTAAATTAATCTAGTCCCATTTGCCAGAATTTGGCCCTTATCCCTCTAAACCCTTCCCATTCATATACTCATCCAGATACCTTTTAAATGTTGTAATTGTACCAGCCTCCACCACTTCCTCTGGCAGTTCATTCCAAACATGCACCACCCTCTGGGTGAAAAAGTTGCCCGTTAGGTCCCTTTTAAATCTTTACCCTCTCATCTTAAACCTGTGCCAACTAGTTTTGGACTCCCCTACCCCAGAGAAAAGACCTTGACCATTCACCCTACTCATGCCCCTCATGATTTTATAAGCCTCTATAAGGTCACCTTTCAACCTCTGACACTCCAGAGAAAATAGCCCCAGCCTACTCAGCCTCTCCCTGTAGCTCAAACCCTCCAACCTTGGCAACATCCTTGTAAATATTTCTGCACCCTTTCAAGTTTATCAACATCCTTCCTATAGCAAGGAGACCAGAATTGAATGCAGTATTACAAAAGTGGCCTAACCAATGTCCTGTACAGCTGCAACATAACATCCCAATTCCTATTCTCAATGCACTGACCAATAAAGGTAAGTGTACCAAATACCTTCTTCACTATCCTATCTGCCTGCAACTCCACTCTCAAGGAACTATGAACCTGCACTCCAAGGTCCCTTTGTTTGGCAACATTCCCCAAGACCTTACCATTAAGTGTATATGTCCTGTCCTGATTTGCCTTTCCAAAATGCAACACCTCACATTTATCTAGATTGAACTCCATCTGCCACTCCTCAGTCCGCTGCCCATCTGATCAAGGTCCCATTGTATTCTGAGGTAATCTTTTCGGCTGTCCATGACACCAACAATTTTGGTATAATTTGCAAATTTACTAATCATACCTCCTATATTCACATCCAAATCATTTATATAAATGATAAAAAGCAGTGGCATTGATAAGAAAACAGACTTGAATATTGTGAGTCGTTTTCATCTCCTTATTTAAAGAAGGATGTAAATATGTTGGAGTAGATTCAGAGGAGATTGGTTACAGTGTTATGTGGAATGAGTAGGTTGTATTATAATGACAGATACAGGCTGGGCTTGTTTTCCAGGGAGTTTAGAAAAAGTGAAAAATTACTTGATTGAAATTTATAAGATCTTGAATGGTCCTGATAGGGAGAAATACTTAATATCATTGGATTGTGCAACATTGAAACTCTGTGCTTCAGGAAGCAGTGGGAGTGAGCTCATTCGATATTTTTAAAACAGCGGTGAATAGATTCTTGCTAGGCAAGGGAATCAAAAGATATGGGGGGGTTGGCATAGGTGAATGTGGAATTCGAAATGCAGTCATGATCTTTTTGAAAGCTAAATGGGACCGAATGGCCTACTTTTTGCTCCTATTTCCTATTCTGTTTGTGGGATCTTGCTGTACGCAACTTTGGTCGTTCTGAATTAAATGGAAGTGACTACACTTCAAAGAAGTAATCAAGCCCTTTGAGATTTGGGGCACCAGCTGACGGTCATCCCTACTCTATATTCCCTCCCACAGCTGCCATCACCAAAACCTTAGTATCGAGAGTGGTGAACGAAGATGAGAAATAAAATTGATTTGGTTTCCCCTTTCCTTGTTCTCTAGAAATAGCTCTCAAAAGGTTTGTCATCCCTTGGATTTCCAGGACCTGTCCTGAGAAATTGGCAAGGCAGAATTGTGAGGGGAAAAAAGGGCGCTACATAAACGCCAGGAGTAGCTCTGATCGCTACATTTCCTTGTTACCTTTCGCGAGCACGTGATGGGCGGCTGAGTTAATCCAGTCAATGATCAGTACGTTTTTTTTCCTGTCTGTTTGGGAAGATTGTTTGTTTTCTTACCCTCTCCTGTTTGCACCTGACTTGTGGGGAGGGAGTAGGAGGAGAAAGAGGGAAGGTGGCGATTTGTGAAGACGCAGAGGGAGGGCGAGCCATTTCTGTCGAGGATCTGGGATTTTTAATTCACTGAATCATTTGGTTTTTTCCTTGCTGTGAAACTGACCCGAAACTGGACCGGAGAACGTTAATTTCATCCTGTAAGTTTCACAATTCAATTCGCAACAGTTTTCGTTTCAATGTGTCCTTTTATTTTCGTAGACGGAACTGTCTTGATTTCCCTCTGTCTCCTTATCAGTGAAAACGAAAAGAAGATTTTAGTTTTTCCAAACATTTATTGTATCGAGTTACTTTTTTACAGTGAGCGAATGGAGTACACATTGAGCGCCGCTGTTAGACTCGATTCTTCGGCTTATTCCGTCTTTTCCTCACTTAATTTTGTAAGAGTTCTTTTTAATTGTTTAACTCCCTCATCCCCGGGAGAATTGATTTCTGCATTTGGATACGAATAAATGTTTTAATCGTTTCGTGAACCCACGGCCGCCCCACATGGACTTGTATAGTTTTAAACAGAAGGTGGGATTTTTTTTTAATTTATTTTGACGTTGCGTTGAGTCTGTTTCAATTTTTTTTTAAAAAAATGCCGAAAGTGGGAGCTCTGTGGGTCTGGGAAAGGCCGGAGTTTTGTCCCGGCTTGTCTCCAGTTGCGGACACTCTTTCCCCGCGCCCGATTTTATTTTTAATCCTTCTCTTCCCCTTCGTCGGGGATCCTCTTCCGAGTCCCGTTTCACGACGGCTCCTCTTCGTTGGTTCGGTTCGGTTCGGTTCTGTCCTGTAAGGGGGGGAGGGGAATTTGGGGTCTGGTTGAAAAGCGCGATTTAAATGGGGGAGGGGTGTCACATTCGTTTTTTTGTTTTCCCGACCACAAATGGATAAATATTTGTAAGAGATTAACTATTTTGTTTTAGGCTATAAACAAAACGACAGGGCATTCCTTGAGACCCGTTGGGTAGCTCTTCCATTGGGCTGAATGGCCTCTTTCTGGTGGGAGGTACTGTTTTTTAAAAAAAAAACACAAAATGCTCACTGGATGTGGGCTAAGCAGTATTTACTGCCCATCCCTAATTGCCCAGAGGGTAGTTAATAATCAACCAAGCTGCTGTGGGTCTGGAATCATGTATAGGCCAGACCTTGTAAGGAAGGCCGATTTCCTTCCCTAAAAGGCATTAGTGAACCAGAAGGGATGGTTACACAGTAGCCATTCGGCCAACTTTGTATCCCAGACTTTAGTGAATTCAAATTTCACCATCTGCCGTGGTGGGATTCGATCCTATGTCCCCAGAATGTTGGCCTAAGGTTCTGGATTACTAATTAAGTGAAATTCCTGTTACATCATCACCTCCTCAGTGAAGGGGCAATGGGGAAAGGGTCAGGGATTAACATACAGGCTTATGGATGGGCAAAGCTGCAGTATGTGAGAATCTATTGGATGGCTGGAGCTGGGGCAGTGGGCTGACTGGCCTCCTCCTCTGTGCCGTCAGTGTGTTAATTCTATGTAAAATAGAATTGTTCTTTCAACTATTTGAGGATTTTTTTCCCCCCTACCTGGGATTTCAGTCCATTTGTCTATCACTTCTCACAGCTAACACATTGTTTCTGGAATTTGCTTGCAACAAGATAGAATTTACAGCTCCTTCCTGTTCCTCTGATTTGAATTTAGAGTAATATTTCAGATTTGTTGCTCACTTATCTGTGAGGCAGTGAAATTACCTGTTGCTTCCTAGCCTAGGAAGAGGTCTATACACTGTGCTGAAGCCAGGAGGTTGTGGGATCAAGTACCCCTTCCAGAGGCCTGAGCACAAAATGCAAGCTGACACTCCTTTGCAGAGCCACCTGTGAGGGAAGACAGACCTGTTGGAGTTGCTGCTTTTTGAATGGTGAGGCCAGATGAACGTCACATCTGCTATCTTGAAGGTGGTTGTGGAAGACATTGTAGCATTGTTTTGAGAAGGAGCAGGGTGAAGTTATCCCCAGCATCCAAGCCAATAGTTATCCCACGATCAACATCACAAAATTAATTGGTTGTTATCACACTGCTGTCGGTGAGATCTTGCTATGTTCTAACTGGCTACCACCTTGTTCTACATTCCAAAGAGCACGTCGTTGCATTGGGATACCCTGAAATGCTGAGAGGTGCTACACAAATGCAAGTCTTCTGGTCTGCACAGTTTCCTTTCAACTTTTAGATTTTGATTGAAAAATGTAAGACCCTGAGAGGTCTTGACCGGGAAAGCACGAAGGTCATGATTCCTCCTCGAAGACAATCTGAAACTAGGGGGTAGTAGGAACTGCAGATGCTGGAGAATCCGAGACAACAAGGTGCAGAGCTGGATGAACACAGCAGGCCAAGCAGCATCATAGGAGCAGAAAGGCTGACGTTTCGGGCCTAGACCCTTCATCAGAAAAGGGGGAGGGG